GTTCATAAGTGCATCCTGGACGAGCCAAAACCCATGGACCTACAATGAGGCATACAGTTTAACACACCAAGTAACGCTCAGATTCAAACCTGCAAAACTCTCTACTGTAAGAGGATAGTTCCTGCTTTACAGAGAAAGATATGAAGATTTAGCATTTACAGTGACAGTAAAAATAATATTACATATACTGTTTATAAGTATACTTCAAGAAACAAAATCTGTACGATATTAACATCATCCTGGACACAGATGAAAGGACATGAATGTAAACACATGTGTCTACTGTGCCCTGTTTGGGTTCCACACCTTGAAAAATGTTGGCTACAACACAAGATTCAAGATGGTGAATTGTTGTGATTATGCAGTCTTAACTATCTCTATTGAGTTCACTAATCATTTATTTATCATTTATCTGTTACAGTAAATAGAACAGGGAACAATGTCTGAGAAGAAATCCAATCAATCATGTTTGTACCTGCAGCTCAAACGACTCTATCCCTGCTCCCTGGATCTTCACAGTGATAGATGTGTCATCATCCTGTTTAACACCGACAGCATTCTTTCCACGGATTAAATCTGTTTGAAGAGGAAATAAAAGAAAGAGAACCAACTGAGGATAATAACAGACCCCCTCCAACGGACAAGCAAATCATTAAGGTTGTTTTCCTGCCTTTGACTCACTTCCTAAAGGATAGTTTCCAGCTCACGAGTTAAACAGTGAGACTTAACTAAAACTATGAGCATAATAACAGACTAAAGCTTTGTAGAAAATGCATGAATGATTGAATGAATTATGATATTTAAAAAATGATTGTGTGTGTCTGTGTGTGTGTGTGTGTGTGTATGTGTGTGTGTGAGGGGGAGAGAGAGAGGGAGCGAGAGAGGGAGCCGGAGGGTGAGAGAGAATTTATGCAAGAAGTGTCATAGAAAGGGAAAGTGGGGTGTGTCTCTCTTCTCTTTCATACACACACACATTGGCGTAAACAGAGAGAGAGAGCAGGACCCAGCGTGTTCCTCAACCTGAAGTGTGACTAAACCTGTTGAATTTACCCACTGGCCCTCATGTCACGTTAAGGTGAAGGGACAACCACACCCAGTGCTGGCATGTTTAGACAGCCGAATGATACAACACATGAACTACCAAACCTACAACTCAGCAGGAGAGCGTGCTTGCTTGCAAAGCTGCATGCACAAACTGAAAATATACAAATATTGACGTGTTCACAGCAAAGCAGAAAATTAATTTCACTCTGAAGTCTGTAGTTCATTGCACAGTAAATCCCCTGTTCTTGCTGTCAATCTGGGACCACTTTACCACTGGAAAACACCCAAAAACAAATGGCTTCTTTGTTTGTGATTGGCTGAGAGAAGGCCCCTCCTCGCTGTGAGCTTGGAGCCATCAGTCTCTTTCTTTATTTGAGCTATGCTGCCTTACTACCACAGAAAATCAGTTGTTTTTAGGCCTGGCAATTCTATTTTGGCACTGATTTCTAAGGTTGGCTCCTGCTGCACAACCACACAGAATTCCTTTCTTGTGTGTCACGACTTTCTGCACTCTCAGAGTACCTCAGGGTGACATGACCTGTCAATCACAGTGCTGTGCCCACGGATTTACACCAGTTTGATAAGGGGGAGTAATTATTTAACCTTGCATCATTCTGCCTTGAGGAGGGGGATATGGCAAAGGTTAAAAAAGACAAACTTGAGAGTTTTAAAAGGTGTAACAATTATAAGTCAAACATACAGTATGTTCCAGATTTTTGTTTCTGGATCAGTAGCAAGAGAAGATGTGTCAAGATAGCAATAAAATCTACTCTTCTTTCTTAAAAAGAGTATTTACAGTTTTTTTTGTCCATGGATTCCAGGTATAAAACTTGAAACTATGACATTGACTCTGTCTGAGAAAATATTTTGTCCATAAAAGTTAAAAAGAGCAGGTTCTCTAAGGGGTCAGCGAATGTGTTGGAAGCAGTGAATAATAGCACAGGCCTTGTTCAGAGTAGCAGAGCGGTGCTAAATATCCCATTCTCCAGCGAGGGAGGCACTAAATGAAAAAAGAAGGAAAGAGCAGACAGAGAGAGAGAGAGAGAGAGCGAGAAAGAGGAGCAGAGGAGACAAACACTTCACAGGCATTTCCTCACCAGTTTTGGCCTGATTTCTTCCTCCTCCTCTCCTTATTTTGTCCTTCATGGCTGCGAGGTTGAACTTTTCCTTGAGTCCTCTTGTGTTCTTCTCTTCTCTGTTCTCTGGAAGTTACTCCCCCTCTCTCTTGTGTCAGACTGCTGGAAGAATGCACGGCAGAGGGACAGAGAGAGAGTGGAAATGTGCAGCTGGACTGTTGAGTCCAGCAGCAGAGTGAAAGTGTAACAGGCTGCCTGTTCAGGACTCCTGCCCCTTTTCTACAAGGCAAACTCAGCTTATCTGATCTCCCTGTGCAAAGCCACACCCTCTTGTTGCTCCACACAGTCTCATTACTCTCTGACTGTCTCTCACACTTTGTTGGACTGGGTGTGTCTACGCTTTGTAGCTCTACTCACTCTTCCGTCCCCTGACATGTTCCACTCCTCCCTCTCTCCCTCCCTCCACAAACCCTGGAGGAGAGGTGGGAATTATGCACACAGTTTTGGTGATGGTTTAAACTGAGTAGGACAACCACTTGTCTTTTGAAAAAAACTATTTGATCAAAGGTCAAGGGGCCTTGATGTGTGCATCATTGTGGCAGATTTAGATATGCACACAATGGACTTGTTTTAGAATTGATTTAAAGAGATTA